CTCCTAGGACTTTGAATTTTGAATAAGCAAAGTAAGGGTAAAAAGGACACTTGGCAATTACTCATCATGGTGGCAATCGCTGTATCAGAACTAGACTGCTCCTATGATACACTGTGTTTCCAACCTCTGTAACTCCAGGCACTTTGGTTTCTGCCTATTCCCACCATCAATTCTCAGGGCTCACAAAATCCTTCTGTTCAAATTAGTCAGAGATGGTTTCTGTTGCTTACCACCAAAAAACCCTAAGTGACACATGTCCACAGAAGCATCCTAACAGCCATTCTGCATCCTTGGAAGATGCTACCATGTGATGTCTAGCAAAGGAGCACAGCAACAACTGTAATCCTCAACTCCCAGGAAAAAATAGGGCAAAGGAGAGTTGGATCCCTCAATATTCTCAAATCTCAACGTATTGGTAAGTGCAACTATGCCTGCTTAAACAATAATGCATAAAATTTGTTACATCCATTTCCTTTCCTCTTATCAGTCTTGCAATAATCTCAGTGAGAGTTAGAAATTAAAAGGGAGAAAATTCTCAAGTGCAATTAAATCACTCACCATTAGTTTAACTGTCCTACCATCCAGTTGTATAATTATTTCTATTTTTTCCCATCCAAAGTCTTTCCTAGCCCCTTCTTGCATCTGTCACACATTTCATTTAACTGCCATTTAGAATACAGGCATTAGCTACCTTTTTAGTGCCACCATGTTATATCTTCAGAATATTCAAGATTCCCTTTCTACTCACCCAGCCCTCAGGCATTGTCAGGTTGAGAACCTAAGCCATCTCTCTCTTTCTCTCTCTCTCTCTCTCAAATTCTCAGCACGTGCTGTGGCTTCTCTAGCCATCTCCCTTTTCAACTGCTGTAATTTGGAACTTCTCATTCTATCGGGTGAATCCTCATCGGGCCAGGGTGTAGCTGGGATCAGGAAAGCAAAGTACACACGTGAACTCAGGTTCTGGGCAAGATAGAGGCAAGGACATGTGGCCTCAAATGGTCACATATATGAAATTCCACTGGGAATTTACAAAATAGGGTATCTAATGGTTTTGCTAATTGCCTGCCTCCCAATGCATTCCCAATGGGAATTCAAAGAAGAGTGTGAAGCAGAGCCTGGCAGACTTTCATCACACGTGAGGGAGCAAAGGCAGAGCAGGCTTGGAGGGGACGCAGGGACTGCAGGAAGGAAGGACTGAGACCTCTCTTCTGTCCCATTCTGTTTGCCATTCACATCCTGCGAAAATGACTGATGCCAATTTATATTGTCAGCTGTGCTGCATATTGTCATTTTCCATGGAAACCCATTGGGTGAATGAGCTTCAAAGGATATCTTAACATTGGAGTGCACTTGAGGATGCATGAAGTCCTGCCAAGTGACCTTGAGATCACTGATTGACTAAAAGTGGTTGCCTATTTTGCCTATTCCTAAAGATCAGCGTGTCTTTACTTTAATTACTTGACTACTATACTAAGGGACTCAATCCATCATCAATTTGAAATCTTTTTTATCTGTGATTTTGGCTTTAGAAAATCACTCTCCTAGACATTGATTTCATAATTTAAATTGCTATTTATCAAATAATTTTACATTTCCTTGAGATAAATCGGATAAAGTAAGGTTGGAATTCTACCACTCCCACAATGCTTTCTTTTAAAAAGTATCACAAAGGGGGGAATGTCTTGATATTTACTTATAAAATGACAATTTGAGGAAACTATAATAATACTGTGGGGAAAATATGTAACTATTTTGTATAAATAACCATATTGGCAGTTAATATAAATGTTCTTTGTAAAATTGTATTAACAAGAAACATTGTGTTCTATAATATCTAGCAGTTTTTAAATTCATGTATTTCAAATATTCTTCCTTGTTCACGTACCATAAAATTGCACATCTCATTTGCAATTAAATTTTTTGAAAGTTCTCTTGAGGGGGACAGGGAAGGGTAGAAATATATCAAATGTATTTTTTTAAATTGGCTATGTTCCAGAATAGAGATAGTGTAACCCCTTTCTATGTCAATGACTGGCTGTATTTGTAAGGATGATAAATCATCCCCCGAATTTTCATCTAAAGCTCCTTTTCTTTGATTCCTCGCACTCTGCTCTACTTTTGGGGTTATAAATTTTCTCTCTCTCCAGTTTCTAGACCAAGTCAACTGTCACATGCAAACATTCCCTCCATCCCTATTCCCATTTCTAAGATGTAGGGACTAAACCTATAGCAGTATGCACATGGGGTACTTGAAAAGGAGCCGCCTTGCATTGAAGTTTGCTTACAGTGTAATATACACACTGAGTTTCAAATATTTTGTACCAAAAGAATGTAAAATATCTCAATTTTACATAGATTATAAATTGAAGCAATAACATTTTAGAGATATTGGTTTAAATAAAATATATTATTAAAATTATTTAACCTGTTTCTTTTTCATTTTGTTAAAATAGCTATTAGAAAATTTAAAATTACATATGTGGCTACCATTATATTTCTATTGGATAGTGCTTGCCTGTAATAGTTACTTATACCCTAAAAATTATCACAGATATCATCCTTTTTATTACCTCTTCTTTCTCTCTCTCAAGCACCTGATATACTATAAGTGTAATTATTTCTCCATGCCTCATTGTAAGTTTCAAACAGCTTAAGTCATCAAATGGTACTCCACTTCTGAATATTTATTTAAAAATCTAAAATTTGTTGGTGTTTTTAGATTTTTTGTGGGTTTTTTTTTTTTTTGCCCCAAGTAATGAGAATTCTTATTGAAGAAATTCTGAGCAGCTCTATTGAATTTAAATTTGTAAAGAAGGCCTGTTGCATCCTGTATTTGCACTAAAGAAAACATCTTTCTCCTCAGGGTCTAACCATGAAATACCCTAGCTCAATAAAGAAGACCAATTTCCCATAAAGGGAACCAAAGATCTAAAAACTGTCTTTGGACTGGTGATACCAAAAGTTTATCTTCTGAGTCAAGAGTTGACTAGGAAGCCAACTGGATGCCAAGGGGCTCTAACTATCTCTTCACATTCCTGAGCATTCACCACCCTTGCCAACATCTTCTCTGCCAATCTCTGGGTTTGCTGACTTGGAGGTCTGACCAAGCTTTAGACTTTCACTTCTGAATACGCCATGAAACCACGTTAGATGTTATGTTAATTTTCCTTTGCAATGTCCTGTCCCTTTATCTAGTGACATCTCCCATAACCAAGAGAGAAGCCATACGGCAGAAGGGTGAACTACATAGGCCATGGACTCAGACAAGTCTTGGTTTAAATCCCTTATTCTACCGTTCATTTTATGCCTTACCTTAGCCAAGTTACAATCTTGATTTCCTCATCTATAAGATAAGGATAATAGTAAAATACACCTGGAGTAGAGTGTGCTAGTTAACCCCAATCACACTCTCTTCTTCTTTAATAATGGAAACCTTCCAACTTCACCTTGAAACTCAGCTCCCAGCTAAAGACACCATTTTCCAGCCTCTCTTGCAGCTGCATGTGGATAGGTGATTAGTTTCTAGCAAAAGGGATATGAAAAGAAATGACATATCTAGCTACCTGTAGGTGGTCTCCTTCTTCCCTACCAGTGCTTGGAACATGGAGGTGATATCAAGTAATCTTGGACTACGCAGATGAGAACAATAGTTTAGGGATTACAAAGTCACAAAATAGAAAGGTGCTACCCTAAGCCACTGTTAGTGTGGCCTTTATTGCATTTGGTAACTATGTATCCTAATATGCCACCCTAAATAAGTATGAAATTAAAGGAGGTAATATACATGAAGTATTATTATATGATTAATATATAATAAGCAGTATAGAATGACAGCTATCATTATTATTATATTATTATTATTACAGATTCTACAGCCTGCCACTTGGCTGCAGACTTA